TGCAAATCTGTTGCCTCTGTTGTTATGTTGTCCTTGGGAACAAATCACATCAAGTGAATTGCCGCTTGGCATTTTTTTCTAGCACAAGCTGACTTGAATTGACAGTCCTCTTAGTAATTAATAATACGCAGTGTCTTGTTTCATTTCCGCAATGTTATGATAGTTTACATATGTTGTTCGTCTCAGTGTATATCACTTCAATACAGCTAAAACATCGGCAGCTGCATCTACAAGTAAATACTACTTAGCTGTGGCAGGTGAAACTTTGATGCTCAGTAATGCATTGTGCCAGTTTGGGGATTAAATGAATTTGATATGATCTGCTAAGAATGTAAATGACGTACAAATGTACATGTATACATGTATCTACTCACTGACAATGCATTTTAGATGGTCATGTGTTGGTTGAATTTTATAATTGAAAATTCCATACGTATATACGCCATGGCAATAAACAAGTTTTGGGCGCCGAGGAATGCGTCTTTCATACTGTGTGTGTTAGGATCCTGTCTGGTAAACATCACCGGGAATTCTTGTCACTTAATTGCACACCTGCCTGTATGACAGCCTGAGTTGTTATCCTTGGTAATCAAAAGAAATCACATTAAGTGACTTGTGGCTTGGCATTTTTTCCTGCACACGCAAGTTGGATTGACAGCCCTCTTGGTAATGAGCAGTCTTTTGCTTCATTCTGGCTGCCGACTCCACTGCAGACGGCCGTCGCTCACTGCATCCCCTGTCCGGCTGACATCTGTCCACATCCAAGTCAGCCATGTTCAACAACAGCTCTCTTTCATCGCCCGTGACCAGCGTGACACCAGAAGGTGACATCAACGGGCAGCTTTCCTGTATCCTCTCGCACCTACGAAACAAGTCATCCTACGACCAAGCCCAGGACGCCTGCTCCACGCACACGGACTTTCTGGAGTTGGGAACAGGACTTACTGTCGTGTTTTGGCTGATAGGACTTCATATTATCATCTCGAACGCTGCCTTGCTTTGGGGAATCATCCGAACACCAGAGCTCCGCAAACAGATCTACATGTTCATGGCAAACAATGCCGTGGCAGACATATTGGCAGGTATTGGACTCATCGTACGGTGTCAAGCTGTAGACAGAGTAGGATTGAGTAGACTGTATTTCATGATGAATATTGAGACTTTCCTAGTGTATACTCAGATGATGTCTGCATCAGCTCTGTGCATGCTGTCTATAAGCTCGTATGTTGCTATAAAGCATCCTATATTCTTCCACACCCATGCTCACAATGCCAAACGCGACGCAGGTGTGGCTATTGTTACAACGTGGCTTGTTCAGACAGTGTTAGGTTTTCTGTCCAGTATGGGTTTGAACTGTTTAGATATGCCCGATTTAAAGTGTTTCAACTTTTCCCCCCTACCGACTATTGCTCTCAAAGTCACCACAATGGTCTTGCTGCTCTGTGTCATGCTGTTCACGAATACAAGTATGTTCTTGGCCATCAAAGAACGGCAAAAGAGAAGGCTTGGGCAGCTGCAGCCACAGGGACAAAACAGCGCATTGCAAAATCATCCTAACGGTGCAGCAGAAAGAAAATACCAAAGCAGTGTGCACAAAGCCAGGACTGTTATGATTCAGGTAGTAGCGGCCTTTCTCTTTTGGCTCTTACCCCTTATACTTATCTCAGCCTGCCTTGCGGCTGGGGAGAAGTGCCCATTTTCTAACGGAATATCTTTGTCGGGGCCATTGCTGATGTCTTTAAACTCGGTGATCAATCCAATCGCAAGCATCATCCGCACACCGGACTTACGAAAGAGCCTCCGCGGAGACATGACAATAATCTACCAGGCACTGTTCACCATGGTACGCGGAAACCGCGTGAACCCACAGGAGGAACAAATTCCTCTAAACCAGCGGGGCGGTACCGGGGCGGCTTCTGGGAGTGACCAGAACATGCCAACAGGCCAGCCCGCTAAAGGACACAACGTGACTCCGTTAAACCGGGGTAGGGCAGGCAGTCTTGCCATTATAGAAATTGACTGAATTGATAAATAAAACTGCTCAGGAACCATATGACCTCGTGTGGGAAATTGCAGAAAGCAAATGATGATCTCTATAACCTTAACTAGATGTGGTATGATACTGTTGTACCTGACTTTGAATCAACATAATGTAAATGTTAAATATGTTATGACTATACTGTCAGTATGAAACATGTCAGTAGATGCAAAATGTACATAATACACATATTTATATACGGTTTGTTATTGATGTTTGCTAATTAGCAATAAAGATGATTAAAAAGAATTCAAATGCTCTCAGAGTGCTCTCGATGTATTTCTGCCAGAAATATAGTACAGGTCAAGTAAAACCCATTTCTTTCAACGCCCATCTCCGTTACTAGTATATTAGCTTTAATTGATTAGATTTGCATAAATTATGCTTATTGATGTTCACCTTCACTTAACTTCCGAGTATGAAATTTCCGGCAAAATATAAAATAGCAATTTCACACTAATTATGCAAATTAGGCCCAAACTCATGACTTCTTCCCTAGCACATGACTATCCAAAATTCGTGACCCTAGCATGTCCAGATCATGAGATCAAAACCGGAAGTTCTGCTTAAGTACCAACGAAAGCCGCCAGAGGGCCCAAAATCTAAACATTTCTAGGTCTCATCAAGACCTACCCACCTACTAAAGTTTCATGACAATACATATAAAGCTTCTTGAGTTATGCTGTTCACAGACACACAAACAGACAGGCAGACAAACGATACTGAAAACCATAACCTTCTTAGCGAAGGTACGAATGTAAGACGTTTCCGTTGGCGAAACAAACATTTTAGTCACTTGTGTAGGAAGTGATGCTCAGTGTACATTTCTTGATACACAATAGGTATTCTTTGACTATACATTTGTACATCACTACGGAGCCCCCTGTGGTGGCCTTGTAGATCGTCACTGTATTGAGATATATCTGTATCAGTTCACACTGATTCAGAGAAGTGAGAAGACCTACCCTCTGTGCCTTCGAACTTGATGCTGGTCACACGTGGAGCTGTTCCCGTTACCGTCTGCGTGACGACAATACGCCAGAAGCGACCGGACCCGATAAAACCTCCAAACGTCTGGGGTTCGCTTGTTCCTTTCTCTACAGTGTTGACTATTGTTACCTGTAAGGAAAATGCAAATTATGAAATTGACTAATAAGTATACACGTATAGAACACATTGCACATGGTAAAACATACTGTGAGATACTGTATTCGTACCTATCTGCCTATCTACCTGCTGTAACATGCTGTAAGATAAATGTCGGGTAATAATCCATCTGAAGATGATCGGCAGTAAATGTAGAACAATTTGTAGATCATAGATCTATTTTCTCCCAGGGTTGACCCTTAACAATAGTCTACGACCAAGTTGGGCAACCCTGGCTTTTGGAAGTAAAACTAAAGAACAAATAAACATCATATAGATCATAGATAACCATCCCGTGTATATGACAGCACTCAACCGGTCGGTTTTGGGGTGCTCCGGCCAGCCAGAGGCTGTTCTGTATTGCCGCCCCGTATTTCTTAGAATAGCCGGCTGGTATGATCGGGTGCCAAACAAACTGGCCGGCTGAAGCACCCGTAAACTGACCCGTTGAGTACGGTCACCAGGTTACAGGTATGTCTCTGCATTTCTTACCTCCTCCCAGGTGTCGTCCTCTCCGGTCTCTGAGCTCTGGAGGACAAAGGTCGTCACGTCATGTTTCTTGTCCCCGACGTTGGTGAAGGTGATGTGATCCAGGGTCTGAACCTCACCGAGATCGAAGACCACGAACCACTCGTTGTAGTTGTCCTCGAAGCCTTCGGGCTGCCATGCCGTGTCGGGATCGTCGTCTAACAGGTTATCCGGCGCGAAGACCTTGCCGTCCTCTTCGTAAGGAGTACCCGAGGCGCCGGCCACTTCTGCCGTGAGTATGGTGGTTTCCGTCACCTCCGTGACTGGAATGAAGTACAAAAAATTCTTACACACAGCAGCTTTTGGAGAGAACACGCTGCCAACAGAAGCCTCTGGAAACAACTTTCTATGGCAGCCATGTTTCTGCCATGAAACCTGCGGACGATTGATTGATTGAGGTTTTTAGGTGCCGATTTTTATTTGCACAGCATATCTTACTACTAAACTAAGTAGCATTATTGATACTTTGATAGCACAGTGACGGTCTGACCGAAGTGGCACGTACCTTCAGCTGCCAGCTGTGCGACTTCGTTAATGTCGAAACCCAGCTTGAGATCCTCCAGCTGGGAGATGTCGACACCCCCTTCCACTTGTCCTGATGCAGAATAAAGAACATATTAAAGAACATTTCATCAACTTCCCAATACATGTCCGTCATGAACCAGAGCACATAAGTATAAGTAGCAAATGCCAAAAAAGCAGTCAAGCAACTGGATATGGTTTTTTTAACACGGACAGACATTTCAGGTACATGTAGCATCCTCGTCAGTGACAATGGAGACTTGTCAGAAAGGCAGGTTTATAAGCATCATGCTTAAAGCATGAACTATTGATTGATGTGCAATTGAGTGAAGACAATTCTTTTGGAAGTCCAAAAAGAAACTAAAATTAGACAAGTCAAGACAAGGATGATGTAAATTAGTCAAAGTTTTTTAATTATAAATAGCAAATTTAACAAGTCCGTTTGAATGTATGGCATCGCAAGAACATTTACATCAGAAAATTAGATCGATGAGTACGAGTACACAAAAGACAGCGTTCTGATGGCTTTCCTAAGTACTTTTTAAAACTGCTTCTAAAGTTCAAATTCTTGAAATTGCGTTTACCTTCTACGCCTTGGAAGGTGAGGTCCACCAGATAAGGCTGGGACCCTCCGTACGTGGCCGTGATCATGAAACGCCAGAACTGTCCCGTTCCCAGGAAGCCGCCGAACTCCTGGGGCTCTCTGGAAAACAATGAGTCTTTCTCCTACTGCGTACAAAATAACGAAGTACTACGTGCACTATTGAATATCTATACGAATCAAATCGAGATAAGCAGCTGGAATGAATAATACCGACAATTTTGTTGGCACTCCTGTCCAATGGCTAATCGCAAGGTATCTGTGTTCAAAATATTCCAACGCGTGGAGGTAAGTCACTATCACCAGGAATATACAGATACGGTAAATCTTACTTCGTGCCCGCCTTCAGACCGTCGACGCCCAGCACTATCTTCCACGTGTCATCTTCACCTGTGGCGGAAAACTGAAACAAAAGTACAAATTAGCATGTTGTTGATTCTCTAAACACGTGGACAATGTAATATCTTCCTACAATTGTCATTACAAATATTTGAAAAATCATGATTTGATGACTACTCAGACATCGATGTTCACAGTAATTACAACCATGTACGCAAAGCTGCATGTCCTTTTACTTAGCCCTAGATGCAACAAAACAATTTACCGCTAGCGTGAAGGCCTTGATGTCGTGCTGCGTGTCTCCGAAGTTGGTGACGGCAATCCTGTTCATGGTGTAGTCCGTGCTCATGTCGAACACGATGGACCACTCATTGTAGTTCTCCGGCAGACCCTCCGGGTTCCAGTAGGTGTCTGGGTTCCCGTCCAGAACGGCGGCGGCGTCGAACCCGACGGCGGCCGTACCCGAGGACTCGGAGGTCCACGTCGTACTCGTCGTCAGCCAGGTCATTTGCGAGACTGCATGAATCGAAGATGAGAAACATTTTGTAACTGAATGTAACTATACCACAAAGAGAGAGTAGATCTTTACAATCTGATACAATCTATGTTCCCCTTCTTCATAGATCTAAGCTGTACAGATAAATCTTCTAAATGAGCTTAGACAAACCATATTGAAACATATCTGTTGTTATTACCTTTTTGCCATTACTAAGAAACGAGAAGAAACCGAATTTACTTGATGGTAGCTACTTGACGATGTATGTATGTAACGTTATTTATATTCCATCCTTTTTGTAACCTGTACTTAACCCAGTGGGTATGTGTGTACAATCAAGGTCTTCATTCATTTATTCATTCATTAAGAAAAGAAAAACATGACGGTTGACGAGATCAACCGAAAATGTATCGAGAGTTTCCTTCTTGTGTTGGAACAAAGCTTGAGCTTTATATAACTATGGCTGCTACCAACATAGAGAAGTAATTCTAAGGGATAAGGTTGGGACTTGTGTTGGTTGAATTCCATTTACTAAACCCCAATTAGTTTGTTTCGATTTTGTATATTTATTTATTTGTCCATGTAATTACCATATCTCTGTCTAATCATTTTGTGTTGATGGCGCCGTTAATATAAGTTCCATGGAGCTTGAGTGCGACGTCATCGTGTGTGTATTTATGTTTTTGCTGTTTTAATAGAAAAAACATAGAGGAGCTTTCATTCTAAGAAAAAGACATATCACAAGGCGATTATAGAGAATTGCAACATTTATGCAGTCTTGTAATTCATTCTGATGTCATTTTTAATAGTTGTAGGTACTGCTAGGGTCACATTTCCAAGTCGTGGCCCCACGGACCAGTTTGCTCATAGTAAACAAGACACACTGAAATAAGGACTTTAACTTCCAACACTTAGATTACAGATCATGCTAAGACACACTGAGGAAGTTTTGAAATAAAATAGTTACCTGAAGTGATTGACTGCACGATTTGGCTGACAGTGAATCCTCCAACAAGTGCTGTGTTTAGATTAGTGGCGTCCAGCCCATCCGGTAGGGGTTCTGAGGAAAGCAGGTATCACGTTATTTCAATATCTATCTATACAACCTTTTGTAGTGTCACTCTTATAAACCATTAATTTGGCCAAATGTTACAAAGCTTTGATGTTTTATTGTCAACGTCGTTACAACATAGAATATATGTACGATGCACGTGCATTAGCCTCTGCCAGGCTTCGGGAGGCGGCTGGAAAGATTAGAAATCAGCCAAATAGAGAGATAGCATGCCAAGGGAGTTGGTCTGCTGAAGAGAACAGTTTGCCTCTGCCTCTCGCGAGCTCTAGATCTCGGGAACAGCAAACTGTTCTCTCCAGCAGACCAACTCCCCTAGCATGTTATACATGTATCTCTATTTGGCCGATTTCTAATCTTTCCAGTCGCCTTCCGAAGTCTGGTAGAGGCTTTGTGCATGACAAGAGTGGTATTAAGGTGGACGCCACAGGGGAAACGAGCGAGGGGATGTCCTAAAGAGACGTGAAGAAGAACCCTGGAGAGAGAAGTGAGGAAACGGGGATTCTCACTGGATGAAGCGCAGAGGGTGGCTGCTGACAGACCCATGGCCAGATGCAAAGGCTACTTGGAGCCCCAAGCGCCACGAAGCTCGAAGGGGACTGAGTGAATGATGCACGTATCTACGATGTATGAAAGAAAGACTCAAAGTGTAGTGAATAAAAATGACTACAAGTCGAGAATACAAGCGTTCAACTTCCTAACCGTCCACTCCGTTGAAGGACACATCGACAAGATAAGGGCTGTAGCCTCCGTAGGTCTCTGTTATCATGACCCGCCATTGCTGACTGGTTGCTAGGAAACCGCCGAACACCTGGGGTGCGTCTGTTCCTCCCTGTACTTCCTCCACCGACAGGACCACGACCCACGTCTTCCCGTCGTTAGTTGGGTTGACCTGTGGTAGAAGAAAAAGTAGCCATATGTTTATCCAAACATCATGATAAAGCAATACCATCATGATAAATAAAGATAATTGTGGTCTCAATTATATGTGGAAAGACAACATAAAAGAGTGGACCGGATTGAGCTTAGCTGAAGCCATGAGTGGCAGAGGACAGGGTTAAATGGAGGAGGATAGTGGATGAAGTCATAGTGCCCCAACGACCTTCAAAGAGGTCAAGGGATGGGTGAGGTGAAGTGAGAATTGCATGTTACTCAATTGCCTGATGATCCAAGACTCTGAATTCAATCAGAGCTTATATAACAGAAATCTGCCACAAGGTGTCAATGAACACTTCGCTTCTGAACGGTTCAGAACAGGCTCAAAGTAACTTACATTGTACATAAGCACACATGCAGCTTGAAGCAACTGGTCCAATCATGGCACCTACATGTACTGACGTTGTTATCTAAACAAGACTCCATCTCTCAATTCTCCACTCACACATGCAAATTATGAGTTGGCACAGATGAAGGGAATACCACATGAAGTACACGGATTCTTACCGCTAGTGTGAAGGCCTTGATGTCATGATCGGTGTCTCCAAAGTTGGTGATGGCGAAGCTGTTCATTGTGTACTCCGTTCCAAAGTCAAACACGATGAACCAGTCGTTGGAAAACCTTTGAGGGGATAGACGACATATTAGCATTGGCACCAATTACTAATTACCACATCGTCCAAAAAAAATTAGATTAGATTTCCCTGGACAACACAATGCATGTTGCAAATAGCTAAAAGCACCTCTACCATAGAAAATGCCCTTGTCTTTTTCCAGTGACAGCCATAACTTAAGCTTATTTCATGAACGAGTGAAGACATTTATGGTAAATTTATACCCATAGGGTAAAGTACAGGTCATAGCATGCAAAAGAATGACTTGTATATACACCGTATATGATCAAGCTATAATTATCGCTATAGTCTATTAAGTAGTTTCGACTTCTCCTTGCTTCTCTGTGATGGTGAAAAGGTAAGAACAGACATGTTTTAGGATCAGAGGTTTGTCCAAGCTCATTATAAATGAGAACCTGTCCGTATCACTTACAATGTAGGTGTGTGAAGTAGGGAAACATCGCTGTTATCATTCTATAAAGTTTGACTCTCTTGGTGTTGTACAAACTACTCTCAGTACTACAGACCGATCATGACACATACCTCTCCAGGTCGGTTACTTCCCAGTACGTCTCGGGGTTGTTGTCCAGCACGACCGTCGCCTCGTGGCCCGCAGCAGCTGTGCCCGAGGAGTCCGCCGCCCAGTCCACGCTCTTCACCAGCCACACGGACTTACGCACTGGTCAAAAGAGTATAGGATCATGAAAGTTCATCTACATTGGTAGTTGCATGTTTAAAGTTAAAGCTTTTGGTCCAAAAAGAAGTCTACTGAGGAAGACCAGAGTGACTGGTCGAAAGCTCTAGGTGAGAGAACTTTTTTGTGTTGGACCAAAAGTTTTAACTCTAAACAAAAGAGTATAGGGTTTAGGATATAGAGGTTTTTACTTTTACACAACCAAACCTGTCCTACCTTGCTTACGTTTCGGTGTCAACTATCAGACACCTCTCTCGGAGCTTCTGACTGGAGTTCTGCTTATTTGTAGCGGCGAGAAGCAGAAGTCCAATCAGAAGCTCTGAGGAAGGTGTCTAAAAAAGTAATAGACACCAAAGCGTAATTAAGATAAGTTTGGTTGTGCAAAAGAAAACCCCTATATCCTATACTCTACCAACCTGATGAAAATCTTTTCGTAAGTACAGGGTTTACTTTCAAACTATAAATGTTACAACAAAGTTCTTCATCTATAAGCTAGTAGGATATTTTACTTTTGTCTTAATCAAGCCAATAATCTTTAAGTATGACCAAGTAATGGTCATAAAAGTAATAATTACTATTTTAGACAAGACATTGCAGTAACATGTAATATGGACAGCTGAACAGTCTAATAACATTGCTCTATGTAAATAATACCATACCCTGACAAAGTATACATTGGAAGCTAAATGTTAGAGTCATACTATGGTAGAATCGCAAAACTCACCTATCTTAACCAGCTCTATCACGATTCCTATATCCACGCCAAGACCAACGTTAAGTTCTTCCTCTTCGGTTTCTTCTGCCTCCTCTCCTTCTTCCGTCTCTGTTACCTCTAACTCGTCCATGTCGATATCTTCAGAAAGTTCTCCTATGATAGCAAAATTACACCACACATGTATACAACAGTTTACATGTATTCATTGACAAAGTCTGGAGTTAAAATTTGGTTCGATTTCTTGTGTAACAGTTGGAAATTACAGTTTAAACACGCCTCATATTGTAGACTACAGTAATATACTGATGTACATTGTGTCCTAAAGACGTGAAAGGCCTTCCAAGATAGAGGACTAGTATACATATATGAAATTGTCTACAAGAACATTGGAACTATTCATCATATCAACACTGACTGTCTTTGTTCGACGCTGGCCACTACTTTATAGAATCATGCATGGCGTTGTGGCAAACACAGGTAAGCTTCTGTTATCTTTTTTTTTAATTTTCCGTCATATTTATACAGGGTTTCCTACTCAGTGATAACACTCCTTACACAAATAAACAAAATACTAGTACATAAAGTCGAGTGCAAACAATAGAATTAAGATATACTAGTAATAAATATTGATAATGGCAATGATAATAATGAAAAATGACAACCAATAACAATAATAAATTGTAATTATAATTATAGTAATTAAAAAATGTACAAATTCATAGTTCAGCCCAATTCATAGTTCAGACAAATTGGAACGGGCTGAACTATGAGAAAGAGAAAAAGCATGTATTAGTGTGTGGACAGCGTTCAGCACCAAGGACAGGACCTGGTACATGTATATTCGCGTCTCCCTGGCTCTCTCTCTCTCTGTGTTTGCATGCTACAGTACCATTGTCAAAAATATGGAGAAGCGTCTTGTTTCCGGAGCAATTTTTCTCGATGTCAAGAAAGCATTCGATACGGTATGCCATACGATCCTCCTGCCTAAGCTTAGATTGTGAATTTATGTGGACCGGAAAATAAACATGAGTGAAGCACACCTGGTTTTCCCTCAAGCTCCAGCCCTGCCACCCAGGGTTCCTCGCCCTCTGATGTTGACGTGATGAGGAAACGCCAGATCTGCCCGGTGGCGAGGAAGCCTCCGAACTCTCTGGCTTCGTTGCTGCCGGTTGGTAGGCCAGACACAGTGGCGACGGAGAACCAGTCATCCGTAGTGCCCGTTGTAGACACCTGAGAAGGCAAGGTTATTTTTGTTTCAACAGTGGTATCTATTACAGTGTATGCCGCCTGCGTTTAAGACATTTTTCAATGCCATGTGTGTCTACCAACTGTAGTATGATAGTAGACCAATAGAAAAATAACATTTCCCTTGTCAACTCACTCCACCGGCAGAACTTTCATACATGCTGCACATCTGAAACAGTCTCCCAGACAATGTGGTCGGCTTGATTACTGCATGGCAACCTCCAGTCATTTACAAACAAAAGGAGGTCGGCATTAGAACTTCTACATGTAGCTTAGAACCTTGCAGTTGGTATAAACCAATGATTAGCCAGGAGTGTTATTTTAATGTTACAACGTTAACCTATAACCCAGGCTATTGCTTACCTTAGCACATTATAGAAAAAAACACCATCATCACACTCACCGCTTCTAAGGGCATCACCCAGATATCCCCCATGGTCATTTTTTTATGATAGCTACATGTAACCTTCACCAGCAGCGAGAGACCACCAGGAAAGTAGCCCATGCAAACCTGCAGCTCGAATGAAGTGATGTCGTGTTTGGTATCCCCGAAACTGATGACACGGAGTTTGTCCAACGTGTAGGACTGCTCAAACTTGATCACGATGTACCAGGCGTTGAAGTTCTTCTCAGTTCCTGTATACCGTGAATGGGTATCAACTTGTTCATGGTCTGCTTAGACATACATGTAGCTACACCTCAGCCAGATCATACATTGTATTTATTGATTTGTGATCAGTTTTCACACAGAGGAAGGCTTGATATTTCATCAACAAAATATTTTTAGCAATATCGTGATATGAATGAAGTCTCTGGTACCTGACTACTAGGCTATGAAAAAAGCTAAATAAAGATCTATCTGTCCTTTTATTTTGCATTGTGACCTACCATTTTACTGTAGTTGTGTTTGTCGTTGGGTGCAAATTGGTCATGTGCTTCCAAACATCTTTATTTTTGTTCTTTATTACGTTGTGTTGCATAATGCATTATCATCTATATTTCTTTTATATAATTCATTTTTTGTTCATTTATCTTCTCATTATTGAAGTTGTTATTGAAATAAGTCTTAGCTACTTGAGTGCATGCGTTACCACCTTGTGTTGTACTACCAAGTTCCTTAATGTGTGAAAAATAAAAAATAAAACTACGGCGTCGGACATATAGTACAACGGCAAATGTTCTCTCATGAATAGCGAAGTTTTGCAAAGATCCGACCGTTTAAATTGCTGGCCGTACCTGGGATGCTTATATTTAATTACCTGTACACCGCCAGTAAGTGTTCACACTTCCATCGAACACCATGCTGGCGTCATACGTCACACCGTCTTCTTCATATGCCTCGCCAGAAGAGTCCATAACCCACTCTGAACTCCCAACCATCCACGTAAACTCAGCCACTGCGATGTAACAAAAACAGTCATTCATACATTCACAACGTTAACAGCAGGACAGATCGCAACAAGTAAGAAGTTGAATAACCTATAAGGTTCTTTATGGACACAACAAAAAAAGTACAGGGACTTTTGTATGGTCTTCTACAACTAAAGATCTAACAAAGCTAAATACATGTGTGGATAACGTCATCTTACGTACAGAGTATATGTATGCGGTAACAATAAAGGTTTAAATTCTCTAGCATGTGGTCTCTAAGATCGAAACATTCTTTAATGTATTTTCCTATTTGAACACTGTAGTGTTATCTCCCCTGAGAATGTAGTTAAATTTATCTATAGGATCTAACGTATTGAAATAAATTGAACAAGCGGAAAGAAAGGTGAACAGCAATAGGCGCTTATCATTGTAGAGAGTACAATCCATTATAAAATTGTGCTCATTTTCAATCATGTTTGGACAAAATGGACAGAACAATATAAGATAAGGAGGGTCGCACGTTCGTGCTGTGATGTTAATGTTCTGGTCTTTATTCAAAAGTTACCACAAAAATGAAAACATTTAGAGTAATTTTTTTACCTTCCTCTCCAACTTCAAGAAGACTGCTAATGTCGACTCCCGTCAGTTTCTCCACGTCTTCTTCCTCAGTTGCTCCGCCTTGTGAACGATAAAGGTTGTTTTGTCAATGATTAGGCTTTTATGATTTTGAGGCAAGATAAGGATAGTACTGTTGATGTACGTAATAATTAGGTCACACAGTCAACTGTGTCACTCTTGTATTAGGCGGATTGACCTTATTCAGCTGTAGTTATGTATCAGTAGTTGTCATACTTTGTACCTTGTTATGCAATAGACTTTATCATAAACTATTAATCTAAATATCAAGTTACTAAACTGCCTCAACCGAGTTCAAAAGCGCTTACAAAATCTTGTTGGGAGTGACTTTTTCGCCACCCTACAACCACTCCCACATAGGCATAACTTTGCAAGCCTTGCGTTGTTTTATCGCTACTTCCACGGCAAATGCTCCATGGAACTTCATTTGCTAGTGCCCCCACTTCGAAAATTCTCAACAAGGACACGTCTTGCCACTTCCACCGAAGCAAATCACCCTCAAATTCTTCCTCCATTCACAACCTCTTATAAAGGAAGAAGTTCCATGCTGAAAGCTTCTTTCCAAGAACAACATCACTTTGGAATAAGCTACCTCGTGATTGCTTCCCTCATGAGTATAACCTAAAACTCTTCAAGTCTAAGGTCAACAAACATCTGTCCTCACTGGCTGTTCTGTAACCCAAAACATTTAAGTGGCTCCCATGAGCCTTGTTTTGTGGTGACTGATCACTGATGAAGTAAATAAAAATAAAAAAAAATAAAAAGAATCTCCATACTTACCCTGCACACCAAGGAAGTCCAGTGCGACTATGTATGGCTGATAGCCGCTGTACGTGGCGGTGACGCGTATCTTCCAGTACTGGCCGATGCCGAGGAAGCCCTTGAACTCCTGCGGCTCCCGGGAACCTCCCGTCACCCCGTCCACGGACAGGACCGTGGTCCAGGTGTAAGGTGCGGGGGCAAACGATACCAACAGGGAGAAAGCCTAGGGTGGGAGAGACGGTTGGTAAAATGTTATCTCCAACAAAATCTTATGGTGGCTGCAAAGATGGGATCAAATCGGCCAGGCTGTATCCATTTGCCAGACAGTTACCATTTCGCCACTGAAGTTTTATTGGTGCTTTCGGTGGCAAAATGGTTTACTGTCTGGCATAACCATCATTTACTTGCCAAGAGATTTTTTTATCATTCGTCCTTACCAACTAAATAGAAATGTTTTTGTGCAGTGTACGTAAGTGCGATCTTTGAGATAAATGAGTGTCATTGACAACATCTTTGCTGAGGAAGGATATAGCTACTGGGTACATGCCAAGGGATTTCTTATCATTTGTTTTGCAGCACGTGCACACACATCGTCGTAATCCAAATAAATGTAGTTCTCCGCATCGCCATAACATTACCTGTACACCAACTTTTCATGTATACTTTGCATGCTCAAAAAATAAGAACTTCCTTTTAGCTAGCTTATACAAAATGCACGAATTCCTATCCAAAAGCACATCTTTAAGGATTGCACACACAAGGGATGAAACGGAATCTTTACGCATGACTTAAGGTATGTGTATAGAAATGTTTTTGTGCGATCTATATGAGATAAATGAGTGTCATTGACAACATCTTGGTATCCAGTCTTACGTGATTGGGGGCGTTGGGGTGTTCAGGCAGACTGTGTCTTCGGGGGCCCTAATAGCTTCCCCGCCCAGTGCAACAGGCCGCCTCGGTAGCAGTGTTACACTAATCAGTATGCTTGGGGATTTTGTTCGGGGAGGGCTAATCAATCTCTTGTGAAATACACACCGGGAAACCTATGTGAGGCGGGCGGGACAGAGCTCTTGCGGCCCCATACAAGATCAGACTGGATACCAGGCTAACAACATCTTTGCTGAGGAAGCTTAAGGTTAGCTACTGGGTAAGGGTATGAAACAATCAATGGTAACCGACCTTCACATCATGGTCGGTATCCCCGAAGTTGGTGATGCGGAACTCGCTGACGGTGTACACGGCCCCCATGTCGAACACGATGAACCAGTCGTTGTAGAACTGGTCCAGCCCGACTGCTGACCAGTACGTGTCGGGGTCTCCGTCCAGGGTCGCCCCGGCGTCAAACACCACCCCGTCTCTCTCCTCCGCCTCGCCGGAAAACTCCACGGCCCAGGAGGTCTGCCCCACCAGCCAGGTAGCAGAGGAGACTGGAAACGAAGCAAGAAAACTTTGATTTACATGTATGCTAACCTACTCTCTGATGTTTGCAAGAGCCTTTGTTAATAACTGTGACGAGGAGGAAGCCTCTGGTTTGGCCACCTAACACGGCACACCAGCCTGGCAAAGACCATCCTCCAGCTAGGGCCTGGTGAATAGAGAAAAACTTGGCAAGACAACATCTAAACTAAGACTGGACCAGAATGACCAGCTCCACCACAGAGAGAAACTCTGCACTGCCCTGTCCCCCGACGGCTTGGTCAGTCAAGGGATTAGGCAGGTAGGTATGATCTGTCAAATTTGATATTGTAACAATAACGGTTACATGTTTAAATGACCTGGTATGCACAGTATAATGTAGTACACATACAAACACGCATACATACACAGCCGCTGCAGTTCGTAAGAAACGCCAGGTGAACCATTTTCAAACTTGACCTTTGTTTCCACCACCGCTACTCACTTACCAAGCATCTTTTAGATCCATGCCCAGCTTTTCGAGTTATGCTGTTGACATGTATAACATACAGACCCAGACCACAGCAACTCTACCATGGCAAAAACGATTATACATAACCTTCATGTCGAAGGTAAAAAGAGTCATGCAACACGGAGCTATCTTTGTTGTACCTTCGTTGACGATGTCAATCACGCCTCCAATGTTGAATCCCACTTCTGACTCCATACTAAACGAGTTGATGTCAACACCGTCTGGGAGACCCCCTGTAGTGGGAAAGAAGTCATGTAAATATCTGAATATGTCCACCTGCTTTCAAAACCTAGTTTTCCTACATTTTAACATTGGGGCAGCTTGACATATTCAGTCAACTAGCCTCAAGGTTTTTTTTGGCAACGCAAGAAAGTGCCCACTGGATGTAATTCAATTCAATGCAACATCATCTTCAAGCTGCAAATCGTCAAGAATATTGTCATACCTTGTTTGCGTTCTCTTCATGGCAATATAATAAATCAAATGTAATTTAGTCTTTTCTGTGGTAGTAGAATTCAATCATGCAAATTCAAAACTACTTGATAGTGTCCGTAAATAATTTCATCAGGTTGGTAAAAGAATGAATAACAGTTCGAATTCGTTGATCACAACCATTTATTTTTCACAAGCCGACGTTTCGATGACCATCTGTCATCTTCATCAGGGCAATTCTGACTGGTTTGCTGTGCACTGACGCTAGATGTTACTTTGTGCATGCTTGACGTTACTTGGTAGCGTCAGTTCACAGCAAACCAGTCAGAATTGCCCTGATGAAGATGACAGACGGTCATCTAAACGTCGGCTCGTGAAAAATAAATGGTTGTGATCAAAGAACTTTATTCATTTGTTTACCAACCTGATGAAATTATTTACGGGTTCAATCATGCAAATTCAAAACTACTTGATAATGGAATCTTACCTTCAATGCCAAAGAAGTCAAAAGCTACCAGATAAGGCTGAAAGCCGCCGTACGTCGCGCTGATCGTCAGACGCCAGTACTGACCAGATCCGATGAACCCGGAGAATTCCTGAAGAAAGACAAATCAGATGTTACGAAAATCTCTGAAGGACTTGAACGCTACTTAAAGTATCTTGATCTTTCATGCCCCCATACATCAATTCTCCACCATGCACATTGAGTTTATGATGGGAATACAGAAGAAACTGAAACAAAACGCGAAGACCTAATATTATGAACAATTCACGACTGATTGTACACACACCAGAATATATAATACGCTAGCTAGAACCTGCCCTACCTGTTCTTTCTTGGTTCCTCCCTCCACACCGTCCACACTTAACACGGCAATCCACTCGTACTCAGCACTGGTCGAAACCATCAGGGTGAACGCCTAAAACGGTACAAGAACATGAACACTCCCTAGCCCACTCACTCACTCACTCGCTCACTCATCCATTCACGCACTCACCCCAATATTGTAAGGTATTACAATGGGACAATGGTGAAACAATGGGATTCAATATTCGACATGTACTATGTCTCTCTCTCTCTCGCGCGCGCGCTCTCTTCTCTTGCTCTCTCTCGCGCACATGCTCTCTCTTTCTCTCGATCTCAATCGTATCACTGATCATCGATTTTTTACTGCTTTACACACAAACCTTGATGTCGTGTTCGGTGTCGCCGAAGTTGACGATGCGGATCTTGTCCATGGTGTACACGGTGCCAAAGTCGAAGATGACGAACCAGGCGTTAAAATACCTAGAGCGAAAAAACAAGGAATGAATTTTCTACACAGTGACAATCAAGACATTCTCTCCTCAATCAGTTGTAGAAGTTACTCCTGCTCTTTTTTTTCATAACCTGATTAGCATTATTATTATTATTATTATTTAATGTCTTGGGGTGGTGGGACTTAGGCGCACTGTAATGTCAACTCTGTGTATCTAAATGTTAATTGTATTTTGTTCTGTTGCACTGTTAAAATCAGTTATAAACTTGAGTGCAGTGCCACACTGTCCTTGGTGCTGTTTTGTTGTGTGTTGTTGGCAGCCGTCCGTCTCGAGAGGTTGCAGAAAGTCTGTGGCGCCCCCCGTCTCTGTTGAGGGATGGTTGTAATGCCCTGATGTAGATGGCCTCTTTAATGCGTCGTGCAAAGAACTGGACATTCAGTCTCACTGGACAAAGTAAGAATCTTGGACACAGAACTGGACTTCTTTGCACGAGGGATTAAAGAGGCCATCTACATCAGGGCATTACAACCATCCCTCAACAGAGACGGGGGTGCCACAGACTTCTGCAACCTATGATCCACCTATGAAGCAGTGGATTGCTCATTTCTTGACAAAGACTGGAGTTGTACAGTTGAAAATTTGGGTAAGTCCAATTTCTTGTGTTTCTGGAAATAGCAGTTTAAACTTGTTTCATAATGACTTCTACCAACACAGATGAACTTTCAAGATATGACATATGATTTACCTGTCGAGTCCTTCAGCGCTCCAGTAGGTGTCTAAACTCCCATCCAGTATGTTAGCCACCTCAAACCCTGCGGAAGCCTCTCCGGAAAATTCAACGGCCCACTCGGCTTGGCCCACGATCCAGATAGCTACAAACAAACAAATAAATAAACAAATAAAAAATGAGTAAGCAAACATTTAGCACTTTGGAGGAAACATAATGATAGTTTAAATCTTTCAAGTTCCAAGACTAACCCATCATTGAAGGTGAGTCCAACGTTATGTTATGTGACAAAATCAACTTTCTGATTGGGAAGAACAACATAGAAATCAACTCTTGTCCTTGTAATGACACAATTCACAGTGAATGCGAACGGTCTCAAAAACACACTATCAACAGAAGACATATTCATTGCATTTGGTACAAAGACATTGTTCCTGTCAATACATATCAACAAACAATCAAATTAGAGTCTTAGAATTTAGTTTAAAGATATTTACCGTCTTTCATGAATGCTATGATCGATGCCATGTTGAATTCTCCTGAAAAATATAACAGTAAAATGTAACAGTCGTATAATCACGCTGGTTGTATGGAATGGCGTTGCAGTTGCAAGTTTTCAATCAAAAAAGTGCATTTTCATAGATTGGACTTGAGGATGATAGATAGTCTCCGCCAGACTCCTTTGCAGGCTGAAAATATACAGTAGAAATTGGCCTAAAATCAATGTAACTGCCAGGGAGGTTAGCCAGCCATAGAGGGTCCAATTTTCCTGCATGTGCAAAGGAGTCTGGTGGAGACTGCATAAGATAGAAACGTTATGCCCCTTTGTACAAGAAGGACAACTGATACAGGGACAATAATACTCGTTTACATGTATGTCAACCAAGCGAAATGTCATTAACAATCATATGTCCTAGCATATACATAAAGTACAATGATTCATGATTATTTTTTTGTTAATTAACTTGAAGGAGGAAGGTTTTGAAGAAGGCTTCTCTCCACCTCTTGCAAATTGTTTTTCCTGCTGTACAATAATTTGTTTATGTTTTACGATGAGAATAAATAAACAAACAAGGAATAACTCTTACCTCCTCCTGCAACTGCCGCACCTTTCACAGCGGACACACTTAACCTCAGTTCTCCTCCGCACATCTGATCCTCATCACCCAGACACGGCGTGGAGCACTCCGCGTCGTCCACTTTGGTCATCACGGCAAACTCGTCCGCCCCGCCACAGTAGCACTCCGAGTAGTACTGGGTACCTGAGGAAAAACAGTTAATAACGATAATCAACTAGTAACATTTGCGAAGCAAAAATGGATAATGTTTACCTTCGCATATGGTCTGCTCTGTTAATTCTTACTCAAACACATTCATATATATGGTCAGGCAACAGTTCAAATCCCTTCTGCTATAAAATTGCAACATGATGTAACACAACACTAGTTACCATGGTGACAGACATCTGGTTCAGGTCATTGACCTTATTGGTATGGAGAAGAAGAAGAAGAGGGAACAAAGAAAAAACTATATGTTTTCCTTCAGTAAATATAGTAAATGAGTTCATTACTGGAATTCGCTCTGATCTCTATTAATATTTTCCATTTCTTTCTCACAATAGCAATGTTTCAAAGTATCTGTGTCTGTGAGGGCTTTGCTTAAACTAATTAAGTCTTCATCAGGTCACAGACCCTTGACTTTTTTTGCTCCGCGGTCACATAGTTACTCCCGCATTCGTTGCGTTTCGCTGCAGTGTGGTGCGTTGCACGAGAAACACCCCCAAACTGTACACATACAGGGTGCTATATAGATGGTAGTAGTCTGTATGTGCAACCCAAATATATATGGGTTCCGCCGGACAATAACCTGGAAGCCAAACTCGTTTTCCGGGCCGCAAGAGCCCTTCGCCCGCTGGTGTAAATTACCGCTACGGGGGAGTCTAGCCTAGGGGGAGTTTGGCTGGCCCTACAAAAGTAATAGGGCCAGACAAACCCCTCGGGCTGAACTCCCCCGTAGCGGTAATTTAGATAAGCAGGCGAAGGGCTCTTGACTGCCGAAGGAAAACGGCTAACGGCCCCGATACTAGTTTGGCATCCAGGGTTAGCAGGACAAGTGTTAAGTAATGATAGGAAAAGGATTGAACCTACCTGAATATTCATGTCCAAGTTCTCTGCAGTGGTCGGCACAGAAGCCGTTGGTCATGAGTTCGTCATCTATCAGCTGTCCGTACGGCAGGCTTCTGATGATGAACATGTCTTTGTAGCAACCAACAAGTTCGTAATTCCCCTCGGCCTCGGCTCCTCCGGCTTCGGCTTCAGCTTCCCCTTCGGCTGCTTCGGCCTCGGCTTCGGCTTCCCCGGCTTCCCCTTCGGCTTCCCCCGCTTCGGCTTCGGCCTCGCCTTCGGCCGCGGCTTCCCCTTCGGCTTCGGCCGCGGCTCCTTCCACCTCGGCCCCACCTTCACCACCTCCCTCTGCCCCTGCTAGAGTAGACGTTTGCACGTTTATAAGAAACGTTACAACATGATTTAAACATACTAGTAAACAACCGCCACCACCCTTGACAGAGTATGTTCAGCATCATCTTTACACAGGGTACATGGAAAACTACACAAGATGAAACGTTAAACCACCTAAACGTTAAACTACTTGGAATAATCTCCCGCTCCACCTAAAATGTTTAACATCAATAATTAGCTTTAAACGAAATCTTAAAAATCACCTACTTTTCTATCCCACCGACATTTGATATCTTATTACTTTTATTTCATCTGTATAAGTTTGAATTTCCGTTTCTTTTTAAAATTCATTTATTTTTTCTTGAGTTATTGCTTCAATTCTGCAAATGTCTGTACTGCAGTTAAAGTTCTTTTAACGTTAAAAGTTTTTAACATATCATTTCTAATTAGCGTTATTTATCAATCACTTTTGTTATTCATTGTTACTATTTGTTTTGTTACTATTATCATATTGATCATATTGATCAAATTTATTAATTACCTTGTTATTTATTATTACCATTTGATTTGTTAGCATTATTTCAGTTGTTAATTAATTTTGTCGGGGAAGATCCCAGACAAGCCACTATGGCTTCATATCTTTCCCCAGCATTTTAGTTTATTGTCAGTAATATGTTCATTTTATTGTTCTTAAATATATGCGAACCAATAAACTAAAACTAAACTAAAAACTAAACTAACACCTCGCTGGGACCCTTAATCACATCAAGAGAAATCTCAGTAGCCTACAGAATACAGGCGCAAGGTTAAGAGAAAGTGATGTGCATCAATATTTCACTTCATGAATTCTTTAAACATCATAAATTCTTAAAAACCTGTCACTGAATCAATGTATAAGACTTTTGGGCTGGTAAAATTCATTCAGGAATTGTGATGTTTTTTTGTTGTTATGTCATTCTGTATCATATGTGATTTCGTAATATTGTATACTATAGTAGTATCAATGTTATTCGTGCTTTGTGTACCCAGCATTGCCTGAAAAACTGGTGGTTATGTACTTGAGTGTTACTGCTGGTGAAATAAATAAACCGAAAAAAAAACGGTGTTATTAACCAGACTCTGGGTACCATACCTGCGGCAGCTCCTCCTGAAGATGATGATGACGATGATGATGATGAAGAGAAGGATGATGATGATGATGACGACGATGATGATGATGATGAAAACGACGAAGAAGAGGACGATGAAAAGGATGCATGACTGGACGAGGACGACGAAAAACTCGCTGTTCAAACAAAAAAAAAATCATCATTTCAGTATTTTGAAAGACATTGACTAAGATACCCCTCCCTCATTAAGTGATACTTTGACTGTAGTGAACATTACAAACTTTGTTGGACTGTCATGAAAGATTTATTAGAATCTTTCTCAAACGACAATTTCTCATAAACAAAATAATTAAACGATTCAAAAGAAATCAAAACAGGACAGAGCAAAAGTGCTGCCTTACACATGTCATGCTTCTGTTGGTCATGTAGGGTGTCCTTGTTACCGCCCACATCCTTGTTAGTTTGCTGAAACAAAAAAAATGGCATGTAATAAGAAATAAGCAAGCACTGCCGAAGATCAGACTTGTCTGGACCCTTCTTTTGGTGTCTTGAGATGTTACATTATTCGTACGTTTTTCATTTTTGAGTACAGGTTGATCACTGATCATGTAAGTATTGTTGGATTATCGTTTTTGTAATACTGGTTTGGTTTGGTTAGAACTCACTCAAACGCCGAGTGCATTCGGCGGCGATTTGGTGATGGCTTACACGAACGCTTCGCCGTAATACTAGTATTACAACCCAGGCAATTGTTTACGTTAGCCAAGAATCTAGTACTCAGTAAAGACACTAAGAATTGAAGGTCTGTGACTCACCCTTTTCTGTGCCGTGTATTTCAGTGCAGCAGCCTCGTCTCGTACTTGCTTCAGATCTAAACTTCCTTTCTTAACTTTGTACTGAAAAAAAACATGGCGGCACACGGTTTTAATTTGACTGGCAAAGTACAGTGACAACTGTACAGAAATGTTGATAGAATCATGCACAGGTGAACATATCGTTAGCTGATGTGAGTATGTAGTTTAATCATTGAATCTCTCCTGTATGTTAAAGAATTATCACCACGAATTTAGAGGCCAAATCGATAAATAAATAGAAAGTTTATTGCAAATTCATGCCCGAAGGCTAATTCTGCATGGACAGAAGAAACATTTGTATAAAAACAGATAATTAATACACATAGAACTACTGATAACTATTAAGAGACTACTAGTAGAAAACTACTGGGTTTGACTTCTTTTTTGAAGACAGAGGAAGACAAAGGATCTCACTTTTTCTATAATTTGTGGGTTTTCGGATGTTAAGAGGAGAGTAGTTTTCTTTTCATTTGTATATGCTTGAAAGTTTGGGTAGGATTTGGAGACTAAGTCAAAGAGTTCATTTTGTTCATTGCTATAGAGGGTACAATTTGAGATGAAATGCGTTTCGTCTTCCACCGTATTCAACGTACAATGTTTGCAAATTCGTTCATACACTTGGAGCTTCTTATATCGCCCTCTCTCAATTTCGAGAGGGTGTGCACTAATTCGTAATTTACTTATTGCAGAGCGAGTGTTAAAATCGATTAAATCCCGGTATAAATGTAAGAACTTACAATCGACTTGCTGTCACCCACTTGCACCAGAAAGTGCAGCATGAACACCAGCAACAAGGCGGCGCTTTTGTATGCCATGCTGACTGCGCCTCTGGGAAAAGACACACAAAAATTCAGTTCAGTATCTATTAAATACATATAGATTATTAAAAAACGCTTACCTCGAGGAGGATTATCTAAAGATTTCTAACATCAAACACAGAACAGCCATCACGAAACTCCGGATTAGCTCTCACAAACTCCACATAGAAAAAGGCAGACACAACCACATTCCCTTGCAGCAAAGAATTTTCCGATATTGTGATTTAGATAAGATAGAAGACGAGTGTCATTTTGTTGTAGACTGCTCTTTATACAATAGCGAGCGAAATATTCTTTTTAACTGTATTCAAAATAAGTTTCCTAGTTTTAAACATTTGAATAGTTTAGACAAATTTATATATCTTATGAAACTTGACAAGCCGTGTTTTGTAAGTTCTATATGTTCATTCATCTACAATTGTTTTTAAAAAGAAGCGAGAAGAAGTCGATGCTGTAAACAATAGTATTATTTAGTTTGTCTTCATGACCTGTACTTAGCTCGAAAGAGCATAAATGTGTAATAAAGGTCTTTCATTCATTCATTCATAATTAAAATTGCACACCGTTTTTTCGGCAAACATCAATAATACCCCAGCCTCAAAAAAAAAGCAAGCTCTTGATGTTAAAAACATATGGAGAAATTGTTACCTCAAATGACACCGTCTTCTTGTCAGATCACAATTGCACAGTTCAACTGACGCCTTTTCAAAATCTACTTGAGGGTCAGCGAATATTGAGGTAAAAATGTGTGAAGTAAAGCTGGTATGCGTGCCTAACTGTGAGATCAGATCAGGTCAGCCGTATACAAAACACATGTGTGAACATATTGAAAAAGAAGTAGCAACAACTTCTCCAAACCAACGTCTTTTTTCAACTTTTGCTAACAGAAAACAGGTTGACAACGTATTGATGAGAAAAAGACGCAACTAACTTGGTTTAGTAGTAAAGAAGACCAAGAGAATTAATGAGATAGAGTTAATGACAAGGCACTTGCCCCGCGGCCATAGTTACACACGCGTCCCTTCACATAGGATTTGTCTTCACCAATGTGAAGAATATAATGCTTGTGGGATAACAACAACAAAACCACATTCACAATGTGTATATAGCCTGGTTACCAATCCTATAGTAGCTGCCGAAAAAAAAATCGTGATGAAGAAAGTAGCAAGATGGCAGTCAAAACTATTTACGGAATACGGTGCAATTTTACGGAATACAGTGCAATCGTATTAGTATACAGTTCACTTTTACGGAGTACAGTACAATCGTATTATAATCGTAATTTTAATCATAGTAAATATGGACTGTATACTAATTCGATTGCACTGTATTCCGTAAAAAGTGCACTGTATACTAGTAAAATTGCACTGTATACTAGTAAAATTGCACTGTATATATATACTAGTAAAATTGCACTGTATATATATACTAGTAAAATTGCACTGTATTCCGTAAAATTGCACTGTATACTAGTAAAATTGCAATGTATTCCTTAAAATTGCACTGTATACTCTGGCACTCCTGCTGCTGATTCTTGTGTTTTCTACCCATCTGTGGTCTAGAAACGTTTCACCAGTCTTGGAGAAACCTCGGATGATGTAAGAACCATAGTAATGTTGAGAAGAATGCAGAAAAAAAAAACGTCGTTGACTCAATTGAGTGGGAAAATGTACCACGTAATTTCAGGTCAGTAGTTTTTGATGTGTGAAGAGTACAACATCACACTTATTATCACAAAGTTTAAGGGTCAACAACGAATGAAAGAATCGTTGAACATTTTGTAACGGATACTTTGAAACCAGTTCATAGTGTTAGAATCTATATTCCGCACAGTTTTAGCTTCACTGGGTAGGGGTTAATCTCAACATAGAAAATATAAGTTCTTAGCGACATGAAAATGAATATATGAGTTCCTTCTTAGGCCATGTTGATTTGATCGTATGGATGACATCCTCTGGGAACCCAGAACTGATGCGACCGTGCGAATAAAAAAGGTGCTTTCATTATGAAATCTACGTGTTCATGAAGGTTGAACAAATGGCACGAAGTATATGGTACGGCGAATAATCTACATGTGCACTCTTCAAATTCATTTCCTTACATTTTCGTCTTTTCGTTTGGTTTTGGCATTCTACGACATTGGTATCGTTTTCCAATATTTTTTTCAAATGCAACTTACGGTATATATTTGCTCATTTTGCAACTGTTTTGTACGATTGACAGTATGGTTGAAAACTTTTTTGGGGAAACGGCCGATAATTCATGCGCGCGCGGATGTCATCCATATAATCAAATCAACATGGCCTTCGCACTGGCCGTTGGTAGAATGCCTGCTGAGTTGTGTTCTAACTTCAGTGACCGGCCAAAAAAACGAAGCAATGGCATCTTATCATAGATGGTCATTGACAAAGCTATTTAAGAAACCTCTGTACTGCTAGCTGTGTTTCATTTGTCCCATTAGTACAAAGTTGCGAACATTTTACAACACCAACTTATTTGGTCTCTTTTTTCTGAAAACACAAAAAGTGAAGGGATGGAAAAATTTTCAATGAAAAGTAAACATATTGCGCGCAACATCTGCAGAACTGTGAAAAAGGTCAAATACCGTTGATTGGGGGGCAGATAAATTAAATCAAGAAGACAGGGGTATAGAATTCGTTCAGAACCAAGCTAGTGTGAGGGACGGGTTTTTCTTGATTTCTTGACAAAAGGGCTTATGAACGGGCGAAGCACCACAGGATCGGGTATTGAAATCTTAGCGACAACCCCCTAGGCAAGTTGCCCTACGATTAACACTTGGTGGAGCAATGCAAGAGTTCAAATTTCTACTGTGTGCTTCGTTCAAAGAGACAGACACAATACTTCATAGCCGTTACTAACAGAAAACGTAGTAGCGCTCTTTTTTGAAAAGCTATAGATACAAGCCTGTTGCAACTGAGCCGTATGATATATTAATTAAGGACAAAGGTCAAGGATCGAGAGTTATTAACCAAGTTGTTTAGAGAGGCTGACAGGTCATTCTAGCCCCCCACTGTGTATGTGAAGATAAAAACATCTGGCCATTTGTCATATCCCTTGTTGGTTTAACGTAGACTTTTTCAAACCAAGTGCTTAATGGTATAAAAGCATCTTCTAGACACTTAGAGAACAATGAAGTTTGTCCACGCAGACGCGCGTAGATTTCTAACAAGTTAATAAAAACACCCCTTTATCACTCCCATCGACCAGTAGATGGCCGAAGACAATGTCGATGTTCATAAAGGATGGCTTTGTCAACTATTTCGTGCAGAAAAGTGCTGTAAGATTTTAGGATAGTGATTATTAAAGACTTAATCGACTTGGTTAGACGGTGGGCTTGTCATTGTAGGCTCCTGCATTTTGGTGACTGAACAGACATATTCTATTCTATTCTATTCTATTCTATTGCATTCTATTCTACTCTATTCTGTCCTTTTCTGTTCTATTCTATTCCATACCATTCTATTCTACTGTATTCCATTCTATTCCAGTCTATTCCATTCTGTTCTATTCCATTCTACTCTACTCTACTCCATTCCATTCCATTCTATTCTATTCCTTCCTATTCCATTCTCTTCCCTTCTATTCCATTCTATTCCAGTCTATTCTATCCCATTCTATTCTATTCCATTCCATTCCATTCTGTTCTATTCCATTCTATCCCATTCTATTCTATTCTATTCTATTCTATTCTATTCTATTCTATTCTATTCTATACTATACTATACTTACTTCTGTATAAAAGGTATCGAACTTTCATAATGGAACTGTTCGATCTCACGCCCTCATTACACGTGATTCACTATGGTTGACTGTTCACTGTTCAATCATGTCTGATATATAAGATCAAATTTAGCCGGTGACCTCAAAATATACACACAGACCGATACTTTCTCACGCTGCTAGCTATCATGCCCAACTCGTATATATGTCCACTTATGTAGGTTAATACATGTATAATGCAGCCAAAAAGTGAGCAACACCATCCATGCTTGATCATTGTGTTATATCTACATTCAAAGTTTGTCATAACGCTTCATCCAGCGTTCTTAAAGCGATTTTATGTAAGGTTTTCACAATTTCAATCACCATTGTTGTACACATTTTCTTGCACTATAAGCCTTCCTGGGTTTATAGTGACATTTGGGGAGTAAAAGATATGTAAATTGTAACGTTAATATGTCCATCATCGAATTGACATTATGGAACAGATATTAGACAGATAGACAGATTTCGAAAACTTTTTTGATTGGACCCACTGAACGAACTACATAGCACGGGCAATGGGAAACTCCTCATGTCATAAATTTTCAATGTCAAAATATAATCATGTTGATAATCAAAACCCTGTTGCATGATACTTGTTTATTCTAACAATTTATGACAACACATGGCGACGACACACTCAAGTTTTTTTTTAACTTATTTTATGCCGCCACCGATGCAGGGGACAAATACAGGACAGGACAATACTCATTTTCACATGAGGAAATTCACATGAGTTAAGTGAGGAAAGTCGTGTAAAGTGCCTTTCCCAGGGGCACAAGATAGGTGGCATGTCAAGACTCGAACTCGGGACCTCTTGGTTCTGAGTCGAGCACTCTGTCTGCATTTACGCCACGCGACCACGACCATTGTCTAGTAGTCTAGTTCTAGCCTTGGAATGTCGAACAGATATTACGACGTAGTAAAAACTATTTCCCTGCGGCATTAAGACGGCACGTACGGACAATGGCGTCTTTTGAGAATCATGTACTTGCGTGAGTTATTGAGAAAAATGCGAAATACGGCCTTTCAAATCATTGGCGATTGTTTTCTAAAGTCAGCATCCTTAGCTTGTGCAAATAATTTCAAAGAAATATCTCTTCGCATTGTCTCGCAGTTCTTTAAGAACGTTTCTTACAATTCTTTCTCGTCCATGCATAGAACAGACAAACATTGTATGTACATCACTGTTTCACTATAGAAGTGCGACATAG